TTAAACCTGCTATATAAATTCTACAGAACTCTTAGCCACACATAGCATATGAACTTTTATTCTTGATATATGTGGGTGGTTTGATTTCAAGGATTGACAGTTAATTACCTTGGGTATCTTCAATATTTACTAATGCTTTTTATGATGAAAAAAGTAGCTTGTCATTTCAGTGTGTTAATTTTAAGGCAATTCAGGTAATTCAGGCCATAGGGTAAGAAATCACTAACTCCCAACATTTACAAATTATCAGCCAAGCAATGCTAACTACAACTTCTACAGAGTATATAAAGAGAGAAGTAGAGGTAGAGGTAGAGGTGGGGATAAGAATAGGGATGGGATAGAGATAGGGATAGAGGGGAGAGAGAAGAAAGACACACGCACACGCACACACACACACACACACACACACACACACACACACACACGCATACTCTGTGTCTACACCCGCATGTTAATCAGAGAAATGAGAAAGAAGTAGGTGAGTAGAGACATACATTTAAGTTTGGAGAGATACAATTTTGGGCAAGTGTAATTATACCATCTATTATATTTGAAGGCAATAATGAATTTAGGTTTTTTTTTCTGCTAGCCTTTGGTGGTATGTACACAACCAACAGGCCACTTTTCAGACTTTTGCCTCAAAAGATTGTGTTAAACATTAAAATGTTGAGTTTGCTCATTTTAAAACTACATTTCTATGCCTTCAGGTTTATCTACCAATTACTGCATGAAACATTAGCCAATTAAATTAGATTTAAATTAGAATGTTCCTTTATTTATTAATGAACAGTCTTCAAGAGGTAGGCAATTAATTCAATGCTAAAAGACTTTACCTAAGAACTTTGTGTTTTATGTGTCTGTGTCTATTTAATGACTAGCACAGTGATGTTCATAACAGTGAAGTGTTCATTTTTGTTTCTGTTTTGTTTAAATTCTCAGTGAAGTAAATTTGGCGTTCAAATGCCATTACTATCCAAGGCTGTTTTAAGCATCTGCCAAAATTGCCCATCATAAAATCAACTCAACCCCATGACAGGAAAAACATTTGGGTTAGGAATTATGTAAACAGGATAGTTATGCTGCAGTTATAGTGATTCATCCTCTGTATTTTTTGGTGTTAAGTCCTAAGTCTGTCTACAGCTGCACAATTCTAGGCATTTTGGAGAAATACGCATTTGTAGAATTTATAGCTACTTTCTGCTCCTTCTACTTTCAAAGGGTTTTCTAAATGAATTGGCGACCACGTGGATCACAGTAGTGTTTTGTTCTGTTTTCTGTTGTGTTAGAAATAATTTATTTTTCAACAGAAAACAAAAATCTCTGTGTCTAGAATGACTCTTGACAACTCTTTAAATATCATTAGTTCTATAAAAGAATAAAATGCAATTTGAATAATTTAGTAGTGCTAACATGTCACATTTTTGAGGCATCTATGCTATGTCTTGGTTGAATAGTGACCAGACACCTCTTTGGAATTTAACTACTTTGTGTGTCTACATTCCTAGGTAAATAATAAATTGTTTTTCTCCTTGAATAAAAGTTGCCATGGCAACTTGGCAAGCTTAAGCTGTAGAAGACAAATACCGAGTTCTAGTCTAGCTTTTCTGTATTTTTGAACATGTGATAATAGTTTTACCAGCTGTGACTTCTTAAAAAATTCGAGTTAATTATATTTTGATTTAGCCTTATCAACCATGTACATTGTAATTAAACAAAATCTTGTGTATTTTTGCAGATAATTCTTTTAGGTAACTTCAAGATTATTTAATTACAGTAATTCAGGGATTAAGGGAAATACATTTTATAGATTTGATTTCAATAATTCTGCTGAAATCTATTCCAGAATTTTTAATTTGTTGAATTAGTAATTCTAGGAAAATTGAGCCATGTCGTTGAACCTGTTGTGTAATTTCCCTAAAGATACAAATCTTTGCCCAAAATATTACTAAATTCTAATAGCACTAATAAAAGTGATAAAAACATCATTTTTATTAGAACGCACTGATTATGTTCTCTAAAGCAACATCTTTTCCTAATTCTAATAAAGAGCTCTTATCAATTATCATCATTTGTTATTCAGACTGGGTGATTTCTGATAAATTACACAAACTTCCATTTCTGTGCAATTATTTAGATATCAGAACACCAAAAATGAATGAGAGGTGTTTGTTATGCAGACCTATAAACCTTAAAGTTACCTGATTCAGTGTTGCTTAATGTTTGGTTTCAATATAAATCTCTTTTCTCTTAGCATTCTTTTGGGTGACAATAATCTAAATTAAGGGAACCAACATAACAATAAAAGGCATTGAACATAGATAGAGACATAAAGGCATAAATAAACTAGATTAGAGGGCTGTCCTTTGTGTGTGTGTGTGTGTGTGTGTGTGTGTGTCTGCAGTTTTGACCTCATATGTGTGTTTGCACATAGGCAGGGTGTCCTCTTGATGGTAAAATGGTGGCAGTATTTGCTTGTAGGTCTCGCATTGTCTGGTCTACAGCCCACATGTACTGGGGCACTTATTAAAGGATAAAGTTTAGAGTAACTATGTGAAAATGATTGGCTCTAATGGCAGTGGGCTGGACAGAGAGTCACCATGCAGCACTTGGAATGTCTAGTGGCAGCAGGCTGGACTAAACCTCCCAAGGATGAGAGATTGTGGCCCCTCCAAAGGAAATTGCCATAGGGTGCTGCAGTGGCAAGTCACGTGGGGAAATTCCCAGAAAGCACTCAGAGTGTCCAGTGGTGGCTGGATGGACTGTAGCAGTGCTCTCTTCTGCACCCTGGTACTACGAGGAGTGGGCTTTGAATAAATTACATAGCAGTAGAATCATTAGCTTGTTTTGTTCTGTTGTATGACCGCTATTCCAAAAAAATAACTGCCTTAGACATGGCAGATGGGTATTTTCTACAAATAACACTAGGTTGCCCAGTTTCTAGCATCCTTCAGATAATATCTGAAAACGCCAGTCTCTGTTTGCAAATGATGTCCTTTTGACTGGGCGAGACTCTTGAGAACACAAAAGCGTCTCAGAGAAGGCATGCTAAAAGTCCTGGAATCCTCAGCGATGGTATGCAAGTGCTTGCGCTCCAGTAATCAGAATCAGGGAACTTGTCTCTCGCCATAATTCCTGAATGTCTCCCAGTTGGTCTTTCTTAGGTTGTGAACTCATACATGTCCAGCGGCCACAGTGGTTGGCAGCATGATAAATGTAAAGTGGCTTGTGCCCAGTGGCATAGAAGATGTACACCTCTGAGGTTCAGTGCCAGTGCTGAGACCTCAGACACCACGGAGGCCTGACCACACGTTAGGATGTGCACCTGTGATGCTTGCTGTCCACATAGACCCAAATGATCAGTGCCGTGTGGTTCTCCAGGGAGATTGGAACCCTTGAAGATACTCGGTTCCTCAGGCTGCAAGGCATTCTATTCCTGCATCTCTATTCACATCCCCTTTCCTTCCTTCTTTACAGATCTTTCCTTTCTTCTATTCATATGCATAATTTGTACATGATATCTGAAATGAATAATGACTTTACCTACAATCTAAAATGTCCATTTACTGTTAACATTTAAACACTTCTCAACATTCAAACTTTGAGGTATATTGTTTCTTTTAGTCATGAGGCAATGTCTCTTTAACATACTGCTAAGAATATTCTTCTCCTTTCTGTATCAAATATATATATATATATATATATATATATATATATATATATATTTATATATATATATAATACTTTTGGAAAAGAATTCTTGTTTTAATAGAATGTCAAGAATACTTGCAATTTATTTAATTAGCACTTAGATAATACTTTAGAAAAAATTCACATCCCAAACTTTTTTATTCAATTCATAAACCCTCTATTCACATAACCATTTTTTCCACATTTAAGTGCTTTTATGTCTGAAAATACATTCTGTTAAAGACTCAAATTGATAAAATCAATTGCATTTTATTGTCAGAATAATTTTGCAGTCAGAATTATCCAGGAATCACATGATTTGCCTAGGTGTTCCTCAACAAAATTACTTTTTAAAGCATTTAAGTCTCCAAGGGGGAAACATGATATCAAAAGACTTTGTGAAAAGCACCATTGTAATACCAATAATCTGAATTTAAATAAAAGTAGACTTATTTTATATGTATGGATGTGTTTGTAGTACTGGGAATTAAATCTAGTGTATTTGCATGAGCTACATCTCCAGCCCTTTTTGAATTTTTGTTTTGCATCTTGAGACAGGGTCTTGCTAAGTTGCTAAGTTGGCCAGGCTGGAACTGAACTTGTGATATTCCTGCCTCAGCTCCCCAGGTATTGGGATTACAGGCATGCAGCTTCATGTCCAGGTTTATACATTTTTGAGGCCTTTGTATGTTTGGTCAGAAATTGCATCCCTAACATTACTGTGGTCAAAAACAGCGGTGCACACAGAATGCATATTTGCTTCTAAATATTTAGAACTTTCTTCTAAGGGAGATTACTGAGTTTCTGTGTTTTTGTTTTTATTTATTTATTTTTAATGAGTACTGAGCCATGGCCTTCACACTAAAGTGTGATCTCAGCCCTTTGTATTTTTTTTTTAATTTTTAAAGTTTTATTTGTTTATTTATTTAGTCAGTCAGTCAGTCAGTCTTTGAAATCCTGGGGATTGAATCCAGGGCCTTTACAATGAACCACATTTTCAGTCTTTTGTTTTTAATTTTTATTTTGAGATGGGGTCTCATTAAATTAATTTCCCCAGGCTGTACTCCAACTTGCAATTCTCCTGCCTCAGCCTACCAAAGTTCTAGGTTTATAGATGTGTGTTGCCAGGCCTAGCTGTAGATAACTAAGTTTATATATGCTATTTTAATCTAATTCTCTTTTCTTAAAAGTTATTTAACTTGCTTGGTTATTTTGAAGACCACCAACACTTCTAATTGCAGGAAAATTTTTTCAAAAAAAGACTTAGGGTGACTATCTCAGTTCCTGATATATTGAATTCTCTTTTGTTGCAGGAGGATACAGATCACAATTACTACATTTCTCGGATATATGGTCCATCTGATGCTGCCAGCCGTGATTTGTGGGTGAATATTGACCAAATGGAAAAAGACAAAGTGAAGATTCATGGGATACTCTCTAATACTCATCGGCAAGCTGCAGTAAGTGATTTGATCTTGAGGGATTCTTTTATATTTTTTCACTATGAAAACTTTGTTCCATTAATTGGTATGTATCCTTGTCTATGTCAATTTTAGAGTATATCCAATACAATTATAATGTACACTAATAACTATATAGAATTTATTAAAACTTAAGAGAATTGTACTGATAAATCACATTCATAGAACCAATTTCCTTATTATCTCTGATGAGTTATAAATTTGATTCAAATTGAGATTCATCTCGGATTATTCTCCATTGTATAACCCTTGGAACAGCTTTACAAATTATTTTCTTTGTTATCATCCTTTTGATGTGAACTTATTGCTCTTGGGCTTGCAGAAGATTCTGCCAAAGTCGTTTGTGGTTCACGTCACATATGTAGACCAAATTCTGGTCTTACTTAGAACAAATGTATTATAAAAGGAATGAATATGGACGACAAGATACCAAGATATTTTTAAGCCTGGGTTCGTTATTTACTGGCTGGGTATCCATGAGTAAGTAATTTAGGTATTATGCAACACAGTTTCAGCATCTGTGATGTGGAGCTGAGGGGAAACAGTCACACTAACCACATTTACCCCACAAGGGCATTGATATCACCAGGCTGAATGTGTAATGAACTTAACTGGCTCTTTCAATCTGTACAATAAACCTGTGGTTTAAATATTACTGACACCTACAAATGCAGATGAGAGCATTCAGTCTTCAAAGAGTCCGAGAACCCAGCCACAAGTTCGGCGAGTAAGTGTTGAAGTTGGGATGTAAACCCAGAGGACCAGGAATTGCTCAAAATGTGCTCAACTTACCACACCTTCATCTCTGAATATGCACAGCTTTGCTCTATGGTAATTGCCAGATTTAAAATTTCCTAACTTTTAGTGGCATGGGTAACAGTTATGATACTCTTGTCAGTGAAACCATGTCATTCCCTATTGATTATGACTTAAAGGGAAACAAAACTAATTTAACCTCTTATGTGTTGTTGTGGTTACTGATGCAAAGAGAGCTAATAGAATCAGTGGTTGAAATTATTTAGAGAAACATTGATTTGATAAAAATTATATATAAAAGATTGGCAATGCAATTATCATTTATACATGTAGAAATCCATTTATTCATTATAGCTCGCTATGCTGAGAGTTGAATTTTGTGTGCAGAGCACATATTTTTCTGACTCTGAGAAGCAAACAAAGTAGCTCTTTCTTCTTATCAGACTCCGTGATCCCATTTCTTTTCCATATCCTGGCAATTTCAGCCAAGATGACAGATTGAGAAATGAGTCACTATAGGATTTACAGCTAATCTTCAAAAGAAGAGAAAATGAGAAAAGTTAAAGTAGGACAATGTCTATCAGGAATTTATAGTGTTTGACAATCTTCCCAGTGTATCACAGTGCCCAATAGTATAAATTCTACTTGGTGCAAGTTTGAGTGCTGTTGTCTCTCCACATGGGGATTCCACAGAGTAGCCCCAGTCCTGGTGTCAGCCATCACCTGTGACACTGATCAGCTGAAGTGTTCCGCGATTTCTTCACCCTCACTGGGCTGACCACTCGCTGTGGGTTTTCATTGCTCTCCCAAAGACGAGGCAGTGTACGTGCCCTGAATGTGCCCATTTTTTCTCTTAGCAATATATTTATTTATTGGCTTGTTACCTCAGCTCTGTGATGGCCTTATGAAAAATTAAGATATTGTAGAACTATTTTTTCTTATTGTTAGTGTGACAGTGACAGTAAGTTGTAAGTTGAAGGACCTGAGCTTCTGCTATAACTTACCTGCTACTCCATGTGTTGAGTTTTAAATGTAGATAATTGTTGGAAGCCTTTGTTTAGCTAGTTTGTCATTGTTTTGTGCTTTTCCATGAGAAATTAAAAGGGTATTTTAAAGTTAGAAATTGATGCTCCATCTACTTTGTTATCATCCCCAACACAGTCACCACGTACATATGCATACCACACACATTCATGTGTGCACACACTACTGACTGCACACCCTGGCATGTAGCACACACACCCACACATGCATGCACACACATGGGCCCAAACCTCACTGTGTAATAATAGGCTTAGTAATATTGTCTAGTATCTATTATTTTTCAGGAAAAATTGCCACTTGAACTTCTTCATTTAAATAAATTTTTTATCTTGAAACTTACAAATACACATACTAGAATATTTTTTTTTTGGTCTTCTTAAAATGCTATTTCTTTTAAAAGTATAATTTGACTAGGCATGGTAGTGAACCCAGCACTCATGAGACTGAGGCAGGAGGATTACCACTAGATTGAGGCTAGCCCGAACTACATAGTGAACTCAAGGCCTACCTGGACTACCTAGCAAGACCTTGTCTCAGTCAATCAGTTAATCAATCAGTCAGTCAATGTGTAATTTGACCTGAGCTTTCCAAACTGTGCAGAGTAATCCCTATTTGCTTATTACCTTAGTTGGCCTCTGTCTCCTTTCAATTATGCCCAGTTCTCTGACCCATTTCCTTTGTGCCTTCTCAAGACAATGTCAGGTTGTTAGAGAACATGGAATCATGATAATAAAGTATTATGCTGAAAGGGCTCAATCACACCCACGTATGCACTCTGCCTCAACACACACACACACACACACACACACACACACACACACACACACACGCGCGCGCGCCAAATCATAGCTGCTCTTCTTTTTGATATTACTGAGAGGTTTAAGTCCAAAGGAAAATGGCAAATGAAAAACATGGTTCCATTTTGTTGATTAGCTTTATTCATGTCCTAGTAAACAAAATTCTTCATGCAGGGTTCTATGCTAATTTGGCTGGAAACAGAATTTAAATTTAAACCCTAAGGGAGAGAAGGTGAGTTTCTGGAATCTTCTCTATCACCAAATGATGTGATTTTTATTCTCAAGGACATGCATTCTGTCAACAAATTAGAAGACTAAAATCAAAGAAAGGCCTAATTACAAAAAACCGCCCACAGGGTAGACAGTAATTCAGTTCTGTGCTTTAAAAAAAAAAAAAAAAAGCAAAACAAAATAACAGTTTTAAAGTGAGAAAGTAAGCAGGTTGGTGTCTCCAGAAGACTCAACCTGCTGCCCCTTCCCTGCTTCCGCTTCCTCAGAACGTGTAAGAGGAAGAGACAGCGAAACCTCTTACCTGGGGAAATGGTGTTTACACTTGGTATTAGTCCAAAGGTGTCCTACCATTTCACAGTAGAGTGAAAAGTACAAATCATTCAGACATTCACATGTCTGACCTCCCCAAAAGTATCAATTGCTCTTTTTTTCTTCTTTTTATAATGAAAATCATAATTCCTATATTTATATTACTATGTCCAACCATCTTATGATTTAATTTCATGTGCTTTTAAATAATTTATCTTCCTTCCTCTTTTTCTTTCAATAACATTTCCCAAATCATTATAATAGAAATAGTAGGTGCTAAAAGCTAGATTTGCAGTTGCCATATTAAAGCAAGACATACGACTTCCTAAACAAAGGAAGTAACCGTAGGCCTAGAAACCTAGAAATCAGCACTGATTTATTTCTTTTCTTTCATGTCAACATTTCATATTCCATGTTTCTATACTTCTTGCTTTCTATATTTTATCTATATTAATTAACATTGCTAGGCACAAATTTTGTTTAAACATCCAAATAGAATTATTATTTCCTCTGAAACCACAGATGATATTCTGTGAAGTATCTCTGCCCTGAGCTGGACAGAGATTAGGAATCATGAGCCCTTACCTCTAACATTCATTTGCTTGGGTTCTGTTCCTTTTGCAGCTCAATTTTGTAATTTGGAAGAAAGGTATAAAAATCTCTCTCTTAGGGGCCCTGCTGCCTCACTGATGGCTTGAGAATAAAAATAGTATAGTTTTGAAACATTCTGAGAGGACACTGAAAATCTTAAAAGAATAATGGGAAATGTATTAGGGACTGTAAATATGTACCAAAAACAATAATAAATAATAATAAAGGAAAGGGATTAAGGGATGAGGGGAGGGGAAAGGAAGACAAAAAGGATGAAAGGCTGTAGGAAGGTAAACATTATACAAACATACCCTCATAAACTAAACTTAAAAAAAAAATACTGGGATTTCACAATCCTGTCATTTGAAAGCCTTGACACTTACTACAAAAGATAATAATCTATGTCAAAGAAAAACCAGAGACAAAGAGTCACTAAGGTGGTGAAAGCAGATTTTATTCAGGATTGTCCCAGTAGAGGAAAAGAGAACTTGATATAGAAGTGAGCTCAGTCTTGAATGGGCAAGTCGGCATTTAAGTCAAGGGGTCAGTGTGTAGGTATATACCGAAAGGAAAGTTCAAGAGTAAAGGAAAATGTGGCTGAACTAAGGTCAGGTTGCCCGTATATTTCCTGGAACATGGTGAAGCACAAGGAATTTGATTAGATATGAAAGGACCGAAGGGTTGAGGGTGAGGACTTCTTTCTAAATTGACATAACAGGTAGTAGGTTTTCAATGCTGTTATTGGCGGCGGTGGTGGTGATAATATTTGTTTTTCCTAAAACTAGATTTTTACATTAAAGTGAGTCTAGGTCTTAACAAAAAGCCTGACTAAAGATTGGCTACTTGAGATGAGATGATCAGGTACCAAAGGTGGGGATTATTATTAAAATTGTCACGGGATACTGTCCTAGGAGTCCTCTCAAAGGGTTGGAGACCTCACTTTGCCCCATGGTGGGTTTGGAGACTCGTTATATAAATACCTTTCAGGACGCATCAGTGGAGGCCTGGGCCGATTTATTTGGCAGAGATAGAGACGAAGCTTGAACAGCTGCGGGGAGCTCATGTGATGAAGTACTTTGGATTTACTTCCCGCACAAAAGAACAGTGTCAGGCTTTATAGATTTGCTGATTGATCACTGTCTCCATTCTGGTTTCTTAGCACCAGCGGGGTCCTTATGGTTTGAGGGACAATTCAGTTCCCATTACATGACCATTCTTTTTGGGAGAAGGCCAGCTTCCACTCCCAGGAGT